AAGAGACGAATATTGATATTTGTTTTGTTGAAAAAGATATTATGTTAAGTTTCAGCCCCAGTGAAAACAATATAAAAATTTCTTTTGTAATAAATTTAATTATTATATTGGCACATTATCACATACATAAAATGAAGTGGTCTGGGAGGTACCCTGTGTTTGAGCATTTTGAAATGGAAGTAAAGGGGTGTTTGCAGACTATATCGAAATGCAAAAAAATGAAAGCGGTGCGGACATTATTTTTATTTAATTTGTTTAATCTTTTTTCATAACTTGAATTAATGTAGTAGTATGTACCCCTGACGATATTTTTGTTTGGAATTGTTATATGTACTCGTGTTTGTATTGTAATGTTTGTTCTTTTGTTAAGCATAAATAATTAAAAAAATAAAAAAATTAAAAAGTCTATATATCGCGATATCGCGATATGACATATCCTGACAAAACGCACCCACCCCCATGTCACGACATGGAGCCTGCATATCATGACATAAACCCCGTATATCGCGATATGACATACCCGACAAAATGTCCCACCCCCATGTCGCAACATGGAGTCCATATATCGCGACACTTCCTATCTGGGTATATCATGTCCTGATATGAGACCTTTGTTGCGGCAGCGGTGCCAGGGTGGCATGGAAACAAGGCGCCAGTCGTGATATGCACTGCTGCGATATACATGGGGTCCCTATCATGATATGCTGAGGAGGTCTTGTCGCGATGGTATCCCACAGTTACGCATTTGGCAATAGCGTGTCAAGGTAGAGAAATAAGAAAAGGAAAACGTGCCTTAGAAAATAAAAACCATAGATCTTACAATCACGGTGATTTTACAACCACATTACAACCACAGGTTTATGTTGGTTAGATGGTTAACTTGTTGGCATGCGTCATGTCTTAGTATTATTCACGTCTAAGTAGGCTCATAAGTTTATGAATATTGTCTTTAAAATGTTAAGCTAAATTGAAACAGAGCGCTTGGACTCGGCAGACGGGGTTACTGGAGGCCAAAATCACCGTGCATGGTCACGTGATCACCGGAAAAACAAGGCGCTATATCTCGGGAACGAAAGCAGCACAAACGCTATTTTTAACTGCACAAACCGCCACAAACGTAGCACTAACGAATGAGGTGGGTTTAATCGTTTGTGCTGTCTGTAGGGGGGCCAACTTCACGGAGCTTTTACCTTGCCTTTAAATATTCAGCAGACTTGAGCATAACATACCAGAAGAACGTGCACGCAAGTATAGGTTTCAGAGGCTGGAGTAAATTGCATCGTCCCAAAGGTAAGATCGAGTGAGGCGCCATGAGAATAAAAACTGCGAAGTTAAGTTCTGAAGATCTTGTTTGATCCTTCATGATGCTTATAAATGCTATTTTCGATGCCAAAAGACAGCTAATTTGAAAATCGTGACTTCCCACAAGACTTAACACTGAGTTGTAATAGTCGCATTACAGTGCTAACCAATTAATCCTACCCTTAATTGCAAGAATGGTCTGCTTATAAAAGCTTCAAATACATACTTTGGATGTAGTTTAGCTCCGTAAACGTCGTTCACTTAGAAATCCTGCAGGGCATTTAGAGGCGATCTGAATAGTTATGTGTACAATGCACACTCACATCTATCCGCCAGTGTTTTCTTAATGTTATTCATGCATTGCAAAACCTGTAATTTGTTTACAGAACAAAATTGAGAACCTCTTCATGCTCCGTCCATGGGAACAGCGCCCGGGGCGGGACTACGTGACTGTATATGGGGGGGGCTGGGAGACACCCTCTTCTCGTCGTGTCTGTGTGTTAGTGAAGGTGCAGCGCTGTAACGCCTTTCCCTGTGTGTGTACCTTTCCCCGGTTCGAGTTAATACATGTGTTGTTCAACCCCATTCCAAAACTAAGGTTGCTGCTGGAAGAGGTGTTAGTGGGGCCAGCAGGGGGCGCTCACCCTGCGGTCCATGTGGGTCCTAATGCCCCAGTATAGTGACGGGAATACTATACTGTAAACAGGCGCCGTCCTTCGGATGAGACGTAAAACAGAGGTCCTGACTCTCTGTGGTCATTAAAAATTCCAGGGCATTTCTCGAAAAGAGTAGGGGTGTAACACCGGTGTCCTGGCCAAATTTCCCATTGGCCCTTTTTTTCCAGGAGGTCTCCTATCCAGGTACTGACCAGGCTCACACCTGCTTAGCTTCAGTGGGTTACATTAGCTGCTTAGATCTTAAATTTCCCCAATAAATCACAGAAAATGTGTATACCTCAGGGTGGCAACACATTGTCTCTATTTGTAATTGGCAATGAACTCGCCACTAGCACACACGCCGTGCTTATCTGCCTGTAAACACTACTTATGGCACTGCTCACTACCCTGCACTCTGACCCCAAGCTTCTCTCCCTGTTTGTGTGTCTCGTGGATCATGCAAGCTGGGGTATGCGAAAAGACAAATTCCTAATGCAAGAAATTGTATATGGCCAATAAAGTGATCTTATCTTATCTTATGCTGTCTCTTGACTTTCATAAATAGCACCGAGCACACGAACACCGACACGCTTCTTCTTTATCTATGATTCACTTCAATGTGCCAACGTTTAATGAAACTTTTATTTTGTGAGGAGTGCTGGAATACCGTACACGATTATTTTCTTTTAAAAAGCACTATGTCCTCAGGTGAAACATTTTGCCGATATATGGAACGTGTACACAATCCCCGATCTAGCGCACACTTCCGGCAACAGCAGTTTAACGCTGGGCACGAGCCAGTCGCACGCCGGCGCCTGTGACGTCAAAGGTGTTTAAAATGGGCCGCGCTCCGACCCGCGTTCAGAGGAGTCGCGAGGAGCTCGAGGCGAGGAGGTTTACCAGGGAAGACGGACATCACAAACATCACACGTCTGCCTTCGGAACAACCGACAAACAAAAGCTATAGGAGTTCGCCCTGTTAAACAAATTCAGGATTTTCTTACAGCTCGCACATACCAGATTGGACCTGCCAAACCGGGGTCGCTGTGTGATAATACGTTATCCAGACTTTACGGTGTCAGCTATAGGAAGAGATGCTGAACGACTTCTACTAGGTATGCAAAGTTATGTTATCGCTTGTTTGATGTGTTAAATTAAGTTTACAGGTCTTGCTTATACAAGCCCCGTTTAATGCTGTATTCTGCATTTTGCTGTCAGAAAGCTTCCGCAATCACAGGTGCTTCAGTAAAACCGCTGTGTCTCCGAGTTGTGAGGAGCGTTTCTTGTACGGCAGCAGTGTGAGTAGCGGTGTTGTGTTATTTGTGTAGTGTTGTGCTGTCCAGTTTCCGAAACACGGTATTTCTGACTCTCTCAGCACTTGCCGCGGGAAGCCTTAACATAGTGAAAAATAAACCCCGTAGCGATAACCGCTTCATATAAGCACAATCGTTAGGTCAGAATGTGAAGAGAATGGTATTTTTAAACGAGTACGAAATGCACGGGTGCCAGATGAGAATGAGCGTGGAAGAGGACGACGTTGTTGCGAAACCCACTCACGACTTCGGTTCGGGTGGGACAGAGGTTCTAGTTTCGCTGATTTCCCAGGACACGTATTAAAAGGGTGGTAACACCTCAAACTAATTTAGTTAACATACCGCAAAACCCGAGATTTGGGCGAAAGTACAGCACCTTTGATGTGTTAACCACTGAATTAGGAAAAATACGTCGTTTAGCACGTCTTACATAAACGTTTCCTGTAGTGGCTCTTCGCACTGTTCTCCGGTGATTTGAATTCGTTTAAACTTGATGATACTTGTCTTTCAAATATTGCCAGCGTCCTGTACAACACGGCGCACTGTCATGCACTGCGCGCCAATTGCGTCGAAATGATTGCGAAGCGCGTGTCTTTACTTGTGAGTAAACACTAGTGAGTGGAGGTCCAGTAAGTGTGCGAATTAGAGGAAACTAACAAAAACCGCAGCTGCCTGGCCGTGTGATGTCCGACACCCCCGGATTCACCGCCCAGTATCCAGACAGACGGTATCGCTACACAGGGGTGTGTGCCCGACAGACAGGACAGCGTCGATATCCCAGCTGTGGCGGTGCTCTGAGTCACTGTTACGGTCCAAGCACCGCAAAGCGAGGTCGGGTGTAGCCGAATTATACCGACGAGCACGCTATAGCACTAGACCTGCACAGCCGTGACTGGGCTTTAACCGCATAAAAAGGACTCTAACACTCTTGTAAAATTAACGTCAATTGATGAGGTCACATGTGTGTCCTATCTTACCAGCTTCAATGGTCTTTTGGAAATTGCGGTAATGTGTTTGTTTTCCCCCCAGTACACAGTGCTTTAGCTGATCAGTGTGAATACTTTTACTCTCGATGACAGCGGGGATCGCTCGCAGTTAACACTAATGTTGTTTTTAAGTCGTAAAAGGTGTCCGCTTTGAATGTTGACTGACCTCTTGTTCTAGAACTCTACCGGTTCTTGAGGTAGTCTTTCAAGCTCAGTTACCGCGAGTCCTCAAGAGTTATAACACTCGTGTTATAAGGTGGGTTGTGGGTGCAGGATATACACTAATCGCAGTGTCCTAACGGAGATGCTGGGCGAGCTCCCTAGACTGACGTTAAAACCGAAGGACCGTTCTCTTTCAAAAGGCTGGGATTCCGCGGGGGACTTGCCAATTCTTCTAATTGATACATCATGGGCGTTATAAATAATTTTATTGTACTGCGCAGTGTCAGGGAACTGATTTCCCTGGTGTCATCATTAAGCACAGAAAAATGCACAGGATTATTTTAAACCACTCTTCAGATCTGCGCTCACTGTAACTCGCAATTTAGATAACAGTAGCGTCTCTGCGATCAAAACGCAGAGGGTTACCGCCACGCCTTCGTTTCTAATACACAGGGAGATACAGAGGGCGTCCCTCCAATACCTCCATAGACTTTTACTAAGTTTCTTCCAATATGGTTGTCCCCTTTCCCCCGTCTTTGATCCAAAGCATATGTCTGGGGTTTCCGAAGTACTTCAGCTTCATTCGCTCCAGCGACAATGAACGTTGTGTCGTGCAGGGCTAGGAGCCAGTCGATAGGAAAGCGATGTGGGGTCTCCGACTGAGCTGGACCGGAGGGTCTCTGTTTTCTGTGGTGAGGTGAGCTGTCTGCCCTTCACGAGGGGGGTAGGCGAATGGAATCGCTATTGATCTGCCGTTGTCATTAGGAAAGCGCGCGACAGCGGAGTGGAAGAGCACGGTGGCGGGTGGCGGCCTTGGTGTTCGCCGCTAGATGGCTCCCTTGAGCAAGAAAGATGAAGCCGGCTCAGACGGCTGGTGCTGAGGCTGTTGTCTGTTGTGTTATATCATTGACGTGTTAATTCTATAAATCTTTTTTATATTAAAAGAAGATTTAAATGCATGGGGAGACTATTCGATCTTGACAAGCTCTCGCAGGTGAAGAATTAGCACTTGGCATGGTTATTCTTCTAATGACTAATTCTTCTAATGACTTATTAACTGATTTCTCGGCTCATGGAGAGTAAGCTGGGATATGCAAAAAGATAATTCCTAATGCAAGAAATTGTAAAGGGTTAATAAAGTGAGATTATTATTATTATTATTATTATTATTAACAATTGGTCCTAATATTAAGTACATGAGCCAAGTAGCTTTGTCTTGTTTGTGTTTTGTTATCGGGGATCTTTGGTTTCTAGTAGCTAATCGAACTTTTATTAATTGTATACTCTAATGTGTCTACATATATGACCATGTAAAATGTGTTTTAAAAAACCTGTTTATTGTTTTCTGATTTCTAGGCCCTTAGACATTCCTTTTCTCCTTTCTCAGTGTTTCCACCTGTACCCCGATGTTACTTACAGAATATAATAAGCACTCTAACCAACACCAGCAGAAGACAAATATCCTTTCGTTCAGCATTTATTTAAGAATATTTATTTTAGTTTGATCCTATGCCTCAGACAATTGGAGGTGATACAGACTGGTCCCCAGTGTCTGTTGCTGTTTAGTATATGGAGTAAACCCTTTACTGCACATTGGGTGTCTTTAGAGGAGAAGCACGTCTTTTGAAAATTAAATGCCGTATAATTTTCTGAAAGCTGATCCATGGCTTTTAAAATCCTTTTTTTTAGACCACACCATCGGAGAAACCCCACTGGGGAAACTCAGATGGAGAAAGAGAATCTAGAATCGTTCACAAATTTGCCAGCTAAGCGTCCACCACATACTCCTGATGAGTTTGGGGAAATGAGCAGCTTCACTGGTTCATCAGTCTGGTGTTAGTACTGTCCATCGTTAATGACCCTTTTCTTGAATAGAGACGTTTGGACTTTGCCATGGGTACGGCTGTGAGCTCAGTGGTATTCCTTACTATCTGAGGTAGCTAAGCGGTGGTGATGTTAGTGATCGTGCTGCAGTGTTTCCGTGTGAATAGGAGGAGGATGAGAGTTCCTCTGGCTCGTCGTGTTTGAGGACCCTGTACGGTTGCCTTTCCCAGCGTGGCCTGTGGTAGGCCAGCAGGGCAGCGGTTGTCTTGTCTGATCCAGCAGGGCTCCAGCCTGCCTCCTTCATGCTTCAGCGTCGCCGGGCAGTACCCGGGGCCCAGCTGCAGCATGCTGGCGCGCGTGTCCCGAGGCTGTTTGTTTTCCTTCCCGTGACGCAGAATTGATGAATTTGGCCAGGGTGTCACCAGCAGGTGGCATTGTACGGGCAGGCCACCGAGGCCCTTCCGAATGCCCGGAAGAGTGGTCAGGCTGGGCTAACTGGGAGCCCCGTTCGGCCGGTCGTGACCCGGCCGGGAGGAGACGCTGGGCACTGTGCCCAGCTCGAGGAGCAGCGCCCCGTCCCGCGCAAGTCGCCTGGAAGGCGCGTGCGCGAGGCCCTCTCGGGGAAGTGCTGGGCACAGTCCTCATGCGTGGCTTTGGAATCGTTAACCGAACGGTAGCGGTCTGTCACTGGGGCATTCGTCATAACTGCACTTTGGCAATACAGCAAAGCAGCTTTTGTTTCTGGTCCGAAGACCTAAGCTTTTAGTATAATTAAAACAGCTTTCTTTTTTTTTTCTGAAGATGCCCGTCATTCAGCTTTCTGTATGAGTAATTGTAAAATCCCCAAAGGTAGAATCTAAAACATTATGCTTGAGATGCAGAAATGCTTTCATTTACTAATTATCGGAAACTAACTCTTGAGTTCTTATTGTTCTAGTCTTACTGTGATGTCGTCTGTAGGGTAGTTGGCCGTTTTTTTAAAAAAAAAAACATTTTTTTGAGGTCTGCTAGAAATCTGCACAATTTAAAGGCATGTGGACCATAGGTGCCAGGGACCTTTGGAAACCACAGGTACTGTAGTTAAAGCAGGTCCTGCCTGGGATCGCACTGCAGCGACTCGGGGAAGCAGCTGGGCGCAGGCAGACGCGTTTCAGACCTCCGTCTGCGGCAGAACTGCTCCGGAGCCGCTGTGCTCGGGCTGCCCTCTTCTCTCCCCTTCCTTTGTGAAAGTTACCTGAGCCGTCTGCGCATCTCCTTCAAGGGTAAAAGGAGCCGCTTGCTCATTCCGCGGGATGTTTCCCTGCCCAGTTTCTGTGGTTTACAGTCTAGTAAACCCTTTCAATCGGAAATCCGAATGTTTGGTTGGATCAATAAATTTAATTAGTGTTGATTAATGATGGAGAGCTGGCTGCAGAATGCAGTCATTACGATTTCCAAGGACACAATGTATTGGCGTTCTGGCATGTTTCAATTTCTATTGCAAAGGAATGTGCACTGTACCCAGTACTGCAATTCATATTCTGTTTGTGTGCTAGGATATTTATGTATTTATATGTGCGTCTATGTCCTTTACTCTGGAAATGACATAGAACAGTCAATACAGCATTAGGATTCAGACCTTTCCTATAGAAAGGCACGCCTGGCTCTACAATAACGTATTTATGAATGTGAAAACAGCTCTTGTTTGTTTAATGTAGATGGTTTACAAAATGAATAGTGTGAAGAGTGTTTTCTTATTCAGTGTTCCACCAAGCTTTGTTACACTGGACACGTTACATTTCATTTCATGCTGGAATTTCTAGAAATCAGAGCCAGACACTGGCTTTGTGG